CTAGAAAAAGAAGAGACTGACCAAGAGGGCAACTGTAACAATGGATATGCATCCTTAATTGGATCTCTAATGTATCTGGCAGTAGCAACGCGACCAGATATCACATATGCTATCCAAAGGTTAAGCTCGTTCACTACGAATCTGGGATTAGCACATTGGACAGCAGCAAAAAGAGTATTAAGATACCTATCTGGTACACGAAGCATTGGGATCCAATATCAAGGCTCTACTGATAGCAAGGAAGTCCGAATTGAAGGATGGTCTGATGCTGACTACGCCAATGATCCGAGAGACAGAATATCAGTCTCTGGATATGTCTTTAAGTTAGGAGATGGAGCAATTACCTGGAGTTCGAAGAAACAGAATGCTGTTTCACTGTCTTCAACCGAAGCAGAGTATACAGCAATGGCACACGCAGCACGTGAAGCTATCTGGCTTCGAAATCTATTTCAGGAATTAAGTTTTATTCAAAATGCTCCAACTACCTTATACGGTGACAATATGGCAGCATTAGCGATAGCGAGATCCACAATACCACGCAAGGTTGAAACATTTTGATGTTAAGAGCCACTATGTAAGGCAAAGATTCGTGAGCGGAAAATTCACGAAGTATATTGCCCTACAAAAGAGATGATAGCTGACATACTAATGAAACTGCTACCTAAACCGGACCACGAAAGACTTAAAAGGTCTAGGCATGTCTCCTGATTGAGGGGGAGTGTTGTTTATAGCAGGTAAGACTGAAAAATCAGTACACATACCTGTGACATGATCCGTGCACCAAAGAGTAGCGGAGATTCAGACTATCTGACTTTAAAATAGAATGAGTACGATACGGAATATGCCGAATGTAATCTGCACTCATTGCTCACCTCCTATTGCGCAAGAATAAATGTGTGCTGTTCTCGCTCGTAAATCTCTCTCTAACAAGATTGATCATTTGCTGATGCTATAATTGTAGGGAGTAATATATCAAATCTACAGGTGTCAAGTACTGCTGTAAGGCAAGCTGTCACGGTAGCTGTGCTAAATTTAGTGTTTTGCTGATGCACTGGCAACGGGTGGCCCAAGGCCCCCGATATGCTGTGCTCGTCTCCTTTATAATCCATCAGAACTTTACAGACTCTATGTAGTGTTTCTTGACCTCAAACACATTTTCAGCATGTTCCGACTTTTTTTTTCAAAGCCATTCTGACAATGCTTTATCGCGTCATTGCTAAGCTGTTTGCTTTCCCGACAGGTCCATCGCCAGATGAACTTGTAAATCAAGTAGAGTGGTGCTTGCGCACAGATGATCCCCATGCCGTAGATGAAGTTGTATCCCTTCATTATGATGCACTGGAATACTCCAGCGCGACACATGATCAGCGAAGGCTATTGGTGGGTAGCCTGGGTTGCATAATGCTCACTCGCTTCCAGCGTCAAGGCAATAGCCAAGACCTCGAAAAGGCCATCGCATTTTACAGGGAAGCACTGGCTTTGCAGCTGGTAGGTCACCCGGACGGCCCGTGTCATTAAATAACCTTGGAAGTGGTCTCTCCACCCGCTTCAAGCACCAAGGCAATGACAAAGACTTGGATGAAGCTATCATGCTCCACATGGAAGTGCTGAGTTTGCACTCAGTCGGTCACCCAGATCGGTCTTCATCATTAAATATCCTCGGCAAAAATCTCTTCACCCACTTCGAGCACCGAGGCAATGACCAAGACTTGAATGAAGCTATCGCACTTTTCAGGGAAGTGTGAGTTTTTGTCCGGTCGGTGACCCAGAACGGTTCGAGTCACTATGTAATCTGGGGATTCCACTCTACAGCCGCTTCAAGCACCAAAGCAAGGACCAAGACTTGGATGAAGTCATCACGCTTTACAGGGAAGCACTGATTTTGTGCCTGGTCGGTCACCAAGCACAGTACCCATCATTAAATACCCTTGCGGTTCAACTCTCCACCCGCTTCAAGCGCCGAGGCAATGACCAAGACTTGGATGAGGCTATCATGCTTCACAGGGAAGCGCTGAGTTTGCGCTCGCTCGGTCTCCCATATCGGTTCATATCACTACACAACCTTGGCAACGACCTCTCCACCCGCTTCATGTGCTGAGGCAATGACCAAGACTTGGATGAGGCTATCAGGCTTCAAAGGGAAGCGCTGAGTTTACGGTCGGTCGGTCACCCAGATCGGTCCATGTTATTAAGTCACCTTGGCGATCACCTCTCCATCTGCTTCAAGCTCCGAGGCAATGACGAAGACTTAGATGAGGCTATCACTCTCTGCAGGGAAGCACTGGCTTCGCACCCAGTTGGTCATCCACTTCGGTTCATGTCATTGAATCACCTTGGGTCTGGACTCTCCACCCGCTTTGACCACCGAGGTAGTGACCAAGACTTGGATGAAGCTTTCACAATTCATACAGAAGCGCTGGCTTTACACCCAGTTGGTCACCCAGATTGGCACGTGCCATTGACAAACCTTGGTCTTGTACTCGCAAACCGCTTCAAGCAACGGGGGTAATGGCCAAGACTTGGATAAGGCGATCGCGTTTTTCAGGGAAACACTGGCTGCAATGGCAGTGGGTTGCCCGGAGCGTTCCTTGTCATTATTTAACCTTGGGGGTGGAGTCGCCACCCGCTTCAAACACCAAGGCAATGATCAAGACTTGGATGAGGCTATCACGCTTTGCAGGGAACCATTGTTGTTTCACCAAGCCGGTAATCCACATATGTCCATGTCATTAAATAATCTTGCAGCCATACTCTCCTCCCACTTCCAGTACCGAGGCAATGTCCAAGACTTGGATGAAGCTATCGCGCTACACAGGGAAGCGCTGAGTTTTCATCTGGTCAGTCACCCAGATCAGTTCATGTCTTTAGATCACCTTGGGGGTCAACTCTCCACCCGCTTTGACCACCGAGGCAATGATCAAGACTTGGATGAGACCATCGCGCTTTCCAGAGAAGCGCTAGCCCTTGTGCCCAGTCAATCACCCACATCGATTCTCGTCATTAAATAACCTTGGGAATGAATTATTCACCCGTTTTAAGCACCGGGACAACGGTCAAGACTTAGAGGAGGCTATCGCACTTCGCAGGGAAGCACTGAGCTTGTGCTCGGTCAGTCATCCAAATAGGTACCCATCATTAAATAACCTTGCGAATACACTCTCCGTCCACTCGGAACACCAAGGTGACGAGCAAGACTTGGATGAGGCTATCGCACTTCACAGGGAAGCGCTGAGTTTGCGCTCAGTCGGTCACCCAGATCAGTTCACATCATCAAATAATCTTGGGAATGTACTGTTGGTCCGCTTCGAACACCAACACAATGGAGAAGACCTCAATGATGCCCTAGAAAATCTCCGTTGTGCATTGTCTCTGTTGACGCAACATGATCCTCATCAATCAGTGGCTCATCAGTCGCTTGCTATCGCCTATCTGTTGTCCCATCAATCAGGACTTGACGGTACAGGTGAAGAACCTGACAATATAAATGCTGTCATGCATCATATCAAGGCAGCAGCAAATGCTGTCTCTGGAGCTTTGCTGTCTCGCCTGCGAGCAAGTGTCAGATGGGGTCCGCCATGCTGAAGAATATATGCACTGTACCTTATTGGAAGCTTATACAACTTCCATGAGCCTTCTGGATGCCCACATGTCCTCCACAGCTTCAGTCTCATCCCGTCATAATGCTATGAAGGCGTTTCCGCGCGCACTTGCAGTTGATGCTGCCTCATGTGCCCTTCATCGTGGCGATGTGTGCCGTGCCGTAGAGTTGCTAGAACAAGGCAGGACTCTTATCTGGACCCAGTTAACACGATTCCACACACCTATCGACACCCTCCCGGGGCGTGGCAACCACGAAGAGGCCATAGTGAAGAAATTTCGAGACCTCAGTTCCCTCCTTGATAGACGTCCTGTGAATAATTCAGAAGGAGACCGAAAAGTTGACATAGAGGCACAAGCCACACGCTACACTCGTCTTGTGAAGGACTGGAATGAAGCTGTGGAAGAGATCCGAAAGCTCAAGGGCTTCTCTAACTTCCTGCTTCCCCCCATGTTCTCTGAACTTCAGGATGCCGCTCGTGGCGGGCCTATCATCGTTCTTGTTGCAAGCAAGTCGTATTGCCATGCAATCATCGTCCCACATAAGGAACCTCCGGTTAATGTAGGACTCGCTATCAACGTAGAAAAACTCGAGCGATTGGTGTTCGCTTTCCAACGGACGGTGAACAACCCTCTGTCACGGGAAAAACAAGGAAAGCTGATAGAAGCTTTGAGAGAGTTATGGGTCAAGATCGTGCACCCTGTGGTTGAAAATCTGGGCAAATTTGCAAAACCAGGGTCGCGAATATGGTGGTGCCCAACCTCTCTCTCAACTTCATGCCTTTGCACGCTGCTGGCGAGTATGGCGGGGTGGAAAGTCCCTTGCGCAACTATACATTTCTTCCTACACTCCATCGCTTACCACGCTCATCAAGGCTCGCAGACGCCGTGATCAATCTCTCCCCGTGTCGTTTGCCGCCATTGGTCAGAATCACCCAAAAGGAGCTTCATCTGTTTTGGACTGTGTGGAGCCTGAGCTGACATGGTGCAGAGCCTTTTACCCCCGTCCCCCGATGGTTTCCTTCACGAAGATCACAAGCATTGATGCTACAAAATCAAGAGCGTTGTCCGCATTGCAAGATAATCCTTGGCTCCATTTGCATGTCACAGGACACAGAATCATACAGAACATTCAAGTCAGCCTTTCTCATGTGCGACGAAACCGCTTTCACTCCTCGATATTACACAAATGGATCTATCTTCACATGCATTTGCATTCCTTTCCGCCTGTGAGACCGCAGTCAGCGACTTTCACACTCCTGACGAAGTGATACACCTGGTGGCTGCTCTCCAATTTGCTGGGGTGAACAGTGTTGTTGGGACATTATGGGGAGGTCAATGATAGTGCTGTGCAGCGCTTAGTGGAGGCATTCTACAAAAACTTTTGCGGGGATGCACAATGAATTCAAAACGAGCTGCCCGAGCACTCCACCGAGCAGTCCAGTTGTTGGCTGATGACAAAGACATTGCCCTTGGACCAGCGCATAGTGTTCGTACATATTGGCATATGATCAATTTCGTGCGTCCTCCTACCATTGTTGATCAAAATGTTCTTGACCATCTCACCACTTCGTATCTAGCATCTAGCGGTGCAGCTCGTGGCAACATAATTGCAAGCTGATATTACAGACTTCGGGACTTGATGATACATATATATATAATCTCAACCTTTATTCATGTTTGTCAGGCTGTTGCCCTCCGAAGAGCACAAGGCGACCAATCAGAAAGATTCAACGAAGTTCAAATTCGTATCATTGCTTTGAATACATACGTTAACTGGTATTACGCATCATAGCTGGCAGCAAATCATATGAACATAATACTTATGCCTCATCCGCGTTCCGGTTGCAGGTACGGCTTCGAAGTCGCAGGAGCTCTGTTAGCCATATCGTGCTCGTGCAAGTGGGCGATTTCGAACGATTTTATAAAGGTACATGGGGGACGGGCTTGGGGGACGGAGGCAAGGCCTGGCAACTTAAGATGGGCTCACGGGACTCGAACTGGGAAAGTTTTTGGAGAACGAGGGTGAATATTGCTACGGAGAATCCCTTGGCCAATGACGAAGGCTATACCAACTTGACAAGATCCTTTCAGAATATGGCGAGCGATCATGGAACACGGTACCATGGGTTATGATAGCCCGACAGCTCGGAGTTTGTTACATGCATGCAGAAACATTAGGATAGGATGAAGATGCAATCTTCGATTAAAGCTGATGTTTGTATCTTTCTACATCAAGGTAATTGATGACATGATATCGGGAACTTGAAATTCGAGGTCTTCAAGTTTACTGCCTATCGTCTTACTCTTCGATATTCCTTAGCGCCTCTTCAACAATCACTTCCGGGAATTCATACTGTATCCAGTGCGAGGTATTTGGAACGATCACTGTTCTAACATCTTTGAATTTTGCAACAACCTCCAGCTTCGAGCACCATATGCATTATATCGTGGATCTGCAATCAAAACCGTCAATGAGGCAGCGGCAGGCCTGTCGGCGAACAAATGTGAGAACGACCATGGCGTGTTGCCCTGTAGCAATCCAAACCATCAGTACCGCTGGTTCCGGGATGCTACTCGCAAAAAACTGACACTCATGTGATCATCGTGGTTGGTTGCTCTGACGATCTGGGTCTCCAGCGATTTCCAAATAGCATCCTCTCTCGTCCATAGAGGATTCAACGCCATATAATCTTCTACCGTAAGGTTGACTCGGGCTTCGTTAGAAGCCTTGGTTCTTCGAACCACCATCTGCTCTGCAGTCAACTCCACAGATGAATCGACGGTAACCACTGAAGTAGGCCTGGTTTTCGGCAGGTACTTGAGAAGTGATAATACCACTGCCCCACCCATTGAGTGGCCAATGACTATATCATATTCAGCAGCCTGAAGGTAGGGTAAGAGGTCGTCTGCCAATGTCTGGACTTTAAAGTCAACTCCGGGCGTCCTGAGAACATGTCCAAGAAGGTTAGGAGCAACGACCAAGTATCCTATGATATGATCATACAGATAAGCACTGTAACATAACTCTAGCAAACAAAGACCCACCTTTGGCTGCAAGTATCGATGCAACACGGTGGAACGTATACGAAGACGAATTTAAACCATGTACAAGGAGTGCTCTCTTGTTGCAGTAGGGGATCCCCACTGACTTGCAGACGGGACAGTGGTCATAGCTGACTCATAAATGTACGAATACGTGTCGATCAAGTTCCGATAGCGGATTACAGCTCCCCGGACCATTCCTACACGTAAATCGAAAATAGCTGGGCAATGATCCCAAGCGTCAAACTTTATGTCTGGTGATCAGGGTACGGGAATATAATCTGAGCTTGCGATGGACGCCGCTCCAAGGTCATAAGATCATGTGGTGGAAATAAAGGTATACCACGAGTCTTCAAACTAGACACCTATGTGAACAAATACAATCTGCTGTTCCAGTGGAATCTTCTTCCGCAACGTCTTCACAGCATTATGCAACGCTACAGCAGCGCGCCTGCAGTCCAATCTCCCCGAACCATCAACCAGGTTGTCGTAAAACGCTGTTACGACCTGACGAGCAACTTCGTCATCAACAGACCACATACCTATCACACTGCGAAATCCAGAGAATTGCATCGCTGCAGCAAGATGGATCGCCTCATCAGGACTCAATTCATCTCCCACAGTAGTGTGACAAGCTGATAAGAAAGCAAACTCTGGATTCTGCATGCGAGATCGGATGATGTCCATGATAGTGAAAGGACCGTCACGCATCGCGAAAGAAGATTCAAATGGTTGTTTCCGATTCGGCATTCCGTGGCAGGCAAGGTGAAGCCACTGTGCCCGACTAAATGCATTGGATGCCCCCTGGACTGTTGCGTCGCTGTCGGTGAGGGATGTAAAAGACAGGACGGGTGCCACCCGCTCAACGACAATGTCTAACTCAGCGGCCACATGTCGAAGTTCCTTTCCTCCGTCCGGATGTCCTTGGCCAACGGCAACGAAATGCTGAATGGACGCATCTTGAGAAACATGATGTCTTGCACGGATGAGTGCGGACAAAGTTGAGGTGTACGAGGAGACGTAAAAGTGAGACAAATTATGGCTCCTCTTTTCATAAGGTCCCGCTGCATGTAGGGGAAGCAGGGTAAATTCAGCGGTGGGACCACCAGATGCGTGAGCCAGGTTCAATCAACTCCTTGAGAACCTGAACTACGGGGCTAACGATACAAGCCCAAAGTTTGCGTAGGACGCCGGCCATCTTGTGTGATTCGAGTTGATGATCAGAAGAACCAACACGCTTTGTAAGGGATTGGAATTCTGACGACAACTCGGAAACCTCTGCTAGCGAGATATCAAGTGGAATGAGGATAGGATCTTGGTCCCGCGTGATGATCAAGGCATCACAGCTATATTTGCTTCCATTGACAATAATTACTGGACCATGTTCTGCCGCTTTCTGGAGGTCAGAGAACAGCGGAGGCAGGAGAAATCGGGAAAAACCAGGCAGCTGACGGATGCGGGAAACAACATCATTCCATTGCGTGGTCAGTTGCCGGATTTGTAGGAACTGGTCTTCAGTAGACGCATCAAATACGTCACGAAGGCTCGAGCTGAGATTCTTGAACTCTTCCACTAAGGCACCACCGGTGGCACTTGATGTGGAAAGATCATCCAGCGGCGTGCGTAAGCGCGCTAACGCTCACACAACACTGCACGGCCTTGCTCTACTAGTTCCACAGCATTCGTCAAAGCACCATGGCGAACACAGCACGAGAAAGCATCCATTGCAATGGATGAAGTGACCTCCTTGGCCACATCGAAATGGTTGGAAGAGGGCGCTAAAACAGTGACATACTGATCCAGGAATTTTAACGTGGTCTGGTAGGCAACGAGTGCAGAGCCATGTTTCGCCTGCTCAGCGGAGGTGATCCATGACTTGGCAGCACAGATATCGAAACGAGAGACCGGAAGAGATTGTCGGGAGAGTTGTGAATAAAGGCTGAAGGCCTCATCCAAGTCTGATGATTGACCTTGCCACTGGAATCTATATTGAAGGCCGAGGGCAAGGTGTTCAAGAGACATGGATCGATGAAAATGGCCAGAGGGGCAGACCATCAAAGCACCTCGACGGAGCTCGATTTCCTCATCTACGTCCAATAGGATCTTCCGTGTTGGAATCTGACTCGAAGGCTGCTGGCAAGGTTGTTGAGAGAAGCATATCGATCAAGATGGCCTAAAGGGCAGAGGGCCAGCGCAGCTCGATGATAGTCAATGGCCTCATCCAGGTCAGACAGGACATTCCACTGCTGGAATTTATCTTTAAGTCTGTTTGCGAGGTTGTAGAGAAAAACAGGTCGAAAAGGATGGTCAGGCGGACAGAGCACTATAGCATTTCGATGGAGCTCGATGACCTCATCAAGCTCCGACGGAACACCTGATCCTTGTATCTGTTTCCAAGGCAACGCCGCGGTTGTTGAGGGACATCAATCGATGAGGATGACCAACGGGACAGAGTGCCAGTGCAGCTCGATGGAGATTGACGACTTCATCTATGTCAGACAGGACAGGCCGCTCCGGAGATCTGACGACAAGGCTGTTTGCAAGGCTATTGAGAGAGCCAAATCGATGAGGATGGCCAAGGGGACAGAGCGCCAGCGCAGCTCGATTGAGCCTTACGGCTTCGTCGCGGTCAAACAGGACACACCCCCGCTGGAATCGGTGTAGATGACTGTCCGCAAGGTTATTCAGAAGTTGGGGTCGAATATGATGACCAGGGTGACAGATCTCCAGTGCAGCTTGGTAGAGCTCAATGGCCTTATCCAGGTCAGACAAGACATCCAACCGCACGCATCTGTCATGAAGACAGCTGGCAAGGTTGCTTAGAGACATGGCTCGATCAAGATGGCC